TATCTTTACAATTTTATCAATTATTAATTATTAATTTCAATGTATGGGTATATCAACATCAGTTATATTATATAAAAATATATTTTGTATAAATAGATTTCAATATTTATATTCTAATTAATTTTTTAATTTGATAGATTGTAAATATTTTTATTACTGTTCTGTCAATAAAATAAAATATTTTATAGTTTTATTAGTATGAGATATATTTTATTGCGATGAAATCTTTTGTCCGCAGATTGTGTTTCAGAATAATTTATCTATCTATCTATCCAGTGGCATCCTCTCTACAGAGGGTTGCATTTGATGAACTATTCCTCTCCATGTTTTTCTATTCCAGGCTTCTCTTAAATCCTTTCCAGTCCAGTCTTTGATGTTATCTCTCCAAGTCTTTCGGGGTCTTCCTCTAGATCTTGTCCCCTCCACCAGTCCCTCAATGACCGTTTTTAGTAGTTGTCCTCCTGATCCTCTAGCCAAATGTCCAGCATATCGTACCTTTCTTTGTTGGATATTTATAAGCAACCTTCTCCTCAAGCCCAGCCTGTCCAAAACTTCCTCATTTGTTATTTTCTCCGTCCAACTTATTCTTTGCATCTTTCTCAAGCACCACATTTCAAATGAGTTAATTCTTTCCATCAATTCATGCGTAAGAGTCCATGCCTCACATCCGTATGTTAGTACACTCCAGATCATTGTCCTTAGGATATTTTATTATTTTGATGCGAATGTCATGCTCATCTGATGCTGGTGCCAAGTGTTATACCGGACTAAAGTCAAAACATAGCTACCCAAACAAGTGTAACATTAAGCCAGAAATTATCCCTTTTTTGAGATAACATAGCACATTTAATGCATTGTCTTTACAAACACGGATATACGACCAATCTTTCTGAATGCCTCTGCAATTTTGACGACAGTGTATCCGTTGTTGATAGTGTTCGAATGGTCGAGCAGTTAAGATGTTAGCCTACCGCCTTGGAAAACTTGAAGATGAATCCGGACGAATCAAAAATCCCCAGGAATTTTTCGGGGTTGATCTGTGTCCCTTACCATCCGCCGAACCCACGATGGGCTTGATTAATTAAAAGGTCTTCTTAGTGCGAACACTAAGAAGACCTTTTCAGGGCAGAAAGAGGAAAAAAATCCAACAATGCTTATATCGCCAAATCTGACATTTTGGTTAATTGTTTAAACTATTTGTTTGTTAAAATTTATTTGTTTGAACTTTTAATAAAATGTAGTATAATATAGCATACTCTGTATTTTACCTTTTTCCTACTAACAGCCTAATCTGTCTAATTGGAAAAGCCAATACTATAAATAATATTATGATAAAGAGAATGAAGATTAAAATAAATACTTAAAAGTGTCACAAATTTTAATAGCAATCTACAAATTATTTTATTCTCGGCCTTTAGTTCTAAAATCAGCCTAGCTATTAATCTAGCCTTATCTGTAAGGTAGGCAAGGATGTTATTATTGGTATTATTTGAAAGTATATTTGAAATATATTTACTATATATAATACTGCTCAGATATTACATTGTACAATACAAAAACTAAAATTTATGAGCAGTTTTAAATGAAAGATTTTTGCAGCTTAAGTATTTCTACGTTTAAGAAGTGACATAAGAGGTAACATAATATATGCCTAATTAATTGCAATTTCTTATTAATCTTATGATATTATATAAATTATTGTTAGCAATACATAAATCAAATTTGAAATACAGTAAACATGCTTATATGACGGATATAAATCTTTTGTTTTATTGCATAAAATGCTATATTTAAGTGACATATTTTTGTGGGCTACGTCAGCATGTTATTAAATAGTTTAAATTATTTCCCGGAAGTGCTTTTAATTTATGAACACCGAGTTTCGCTTAACGACAGTTTTCCGGAATCAATTATGTCGTTAAAAACGGGGATCTACTGTATCGTATAATATACTGTAGATTATATATACGTATAGTGTAAGATTTTATACATATATATAATCTTAATACCATACATTTTTTCTGTCTTTGGATTACTTATATTATTAGAAATTTTGTGGCATTCTCTTTATAGTGCTTTTATACTTGCAAGTAATTTCATTTGACAAAGAAATATTCCTTATCTGTTGTCTGTTTCGAAATTTTGTGATGAGGTTATCAGGAAAAATCCTTTTTACTGAACGATTTAAAACGTTGTTTTTCTTTTCGAAGGTATCTAGATTTGTTTACTTCTTTATCTATTTCCTAAAATGTATACTATCTTAAGCAGTGTTCTTTAATGGGATTTTCTATATTGAAATATGATTTCTCTTCACGGTTCAAAAGATCGATTATTTTATAATGCTTTTAAAATTTATTTATATATAGTATACACGTTGTTATAAGAATCGTAGTTAATTAACTATAGGTCCACTCTTCTCCAAAGAATTGAACTGATAGTGGGTCACTCTCATGGCTGATATCTTCCGAAGACTTAGCAAAGATAGATAGGCGACCGTAAAAACACAATAGTTCACGATCACTAGCAACACATATTACGCAAGCCAATGACAAACGCGACAATGCTCAATAAAAATAAAAGACTGAACAAGAACAAGTATAAAATTTTATTCTTTACCTTCTGGATGTTCACGTAGCCTAGTGTTTAAGTCTGATGCGCCTGTTTTTATGTTTCATACAGTGGTCAATTTCTTCTGACATTCTGTTCTTACTCTGTTTACTTTTAAATTTGATTGGGATGATAGTGGGAGCCACAGAGAACGAGGTACGGAAGAGCGTTAGTGGGAAACGTCGCCCTATGCCATGTGGCTACATCCCTACATACGTACACAGTATCTAAACTTAGAACCAAATTTGTTTATTCAATAAAGTAGTAGTTCCTATGTAGAAGTTTTTTCGAAAGTCACACTCAACAGATACTTTTTCATATGCATTTTGGACATTTTTCCCCTCTCTTCAGTCCATTTAATTTAATTGATGTAAATTTAATTAAAATTTATAACAACTTTATAANGAAATAGAACATTTATGTATTTTGAAATAAAATTTTAATAATTCTTTCAAAACTGATAAAATATTCTAATTAGAAAAATGTCACAATGACCTATTTTAAAGATAATTATTTATATTTTATAAACTAAATGATTTAACACTGTTTCTATGTCAATGAGGAGTAAGTTTCATTGACACATTTCTTCCACTACTGTTTACTGGATTCATGCAACTTAAGAATGAAGAGTATTTTAAAATCTTTTTTGAAAAAACTGAACAGCAGATGTAAAATAAGTAGGTCGATTCTTGGATAGACCTTGCAAATGAAGAAACTGTTACTTAAATTTGAATGAATTGCAAAAAAGTGTGTAAATTGTGTAAGTTCATATTTATATCTTTTTGATTTATAAACATAGTCCAATTTTTTTATAGTAAAAAAATCTTAAAAGTTTTGCGTAAATTAATCTTTTGAAATTCGTTGATTCATTCAATGATGAGTCATCATATAGAGGGAAACAATTTTTCTCAATATATTTCTTTTAAACTTTCATGCTTTACTTGAAATTAAAGTACTGTACAGAAAACTGAAGATTTAAAAAAAATGAAAAATTAAAGGTTAATTTTATTCAATTTAAAATAAAAATTCAAAACAAAATGGAATCTATTTATAGTTTATAATCTCAGGATATTTGTAGCAACTACGAAAAGAATTTTATAATAATAGAAAATATATAAAACTCAATTAAAAGATACTAGTTTACATCTTTAAACTCTGTTTATTAATAAAAGGAAAAATATTTTAAAAATATTTTTCCTGTTAAGACTACAATAAAATTTCCGGAGTTTTTCCGGAAAAATTTACATTAAGTAATCCTTTTTATAAACTTATAAATGGATTACATTAATGATAGACTTACAAAAATTTGTTGTTGTTGTTTTAATATATATAATGTATAAAGATTGAGTTTTACTATTTTTTAAAATTAATCTACTTTGTTGGTAAATAAAAAACTACCGTTAAGTCATCAGAAAATAAGAAAAAGTAATTTATGTTTTGGATTGTATAAAAAATAAAATATATGTGTGCTAAATAAAATGTAGGCTTATTTTTTATTTATATGCATTTATTTTTATTTATTTGCATTTATGCCACCACAAAAATTGAAACTAAACTTATATTTAGTATAAAAATAAATTTTTAATGTGTAGAGATTATAAAATATAATTTAGCAATGTCAAGTGTTTATTATAGTTAATTAAAAAAAATTAAAAAAAAAAAATGTATTAGAGATATGAAGTCATCCAACTTAAAAGAAATGTATCTCCTATAAATAAATTTAGTTAAATCCGTCTTCATACAAAACTTTTTGATGAAAGAATGTATATTTGTTTTAATTAAATTAATTTTCGGATTCCTATTTTAATAATTTCTACAGTTTTTGCTAGGCTAAAACTTTAAATTTTTAAAATAAAAGTCATGATTTAGAATAAAAGAAGGCCAATACAAAATTCAATCTATTGATTCCAATACATAAGTTTTAATATATTTCTTTTAGTCCATAACAATTAATTTCGCACGAAAAGTTATACAATAGAATAACTTACATTGAGTTATATCATATGAATAATTTCACTATTAGTTTGATTGATTCTTTCTACTCAAATTTACATAAATTTCAAGCATTTTTCAAATTATATACTTTTTAGAAGTTAAATTTAAAATATTTCATAATTTTGAAAACAATAAAAATTTATTATTTAAAGATGTAAAAATTTCTTACTTTTTTAAGTCAAATTAAAAATATAAAATAATTTAATTATAAAGTATTTAGACTAATATAATAATATTTTAAAGAAACGTTCAAATGAAATATTCTCAACAATAAATTTGTTCTTAGGTAGAAACAATTGAAATTTATATAATATGATTGATTTTCTGACGTGGCACATATCATACTACGTGCTATTTAACTTGATTTAGATTTTCCACTCCGGTGAGTTGAACTGTAACGGAGACGAGCAACATGGATAAAGGATGAGCAATGACTGATCCATGACAAATTATGAAGAATTGGATAGAATTCGAACTCGGATTCCTGCAAAGATATATTGATGACCTGCCAAGCAAATCTCTTTCTGGAAGTTAATATTAATACAATGAAAATATAGATAAGAATGGTAATACTGTAAGTATATTTACTAAAACTAGACCTTATATCTTCAATTAACATTAAATACATTGCACATATTTAGTCTTATCTCTCAATCAACATTTTGCATGTTAATGACATGCGTAAATGAATACAGTGCATTTATAATCATTAATAATGTATGAAATAGTCGTAAAATTAATTAGAGGACGTGTACAGATGGTTTTCTCGGAATTATTAAGTTATCTTTTATAATTTTATTATTTTGAAATATTCTGTTTTTGATTGAAAAAAATTTAATTCTAATATACCACAATATTTATATTATTAAATTGAAATCTCAAACCAATAATAACTTGCTATATATAGAATAAACAATTATCCAGTTATTCTATTCAACATAATTAGTAATTTATAATATTATAAACATTTATTTATATACTGTATCTGTTGATACTATTAAAATACCATTATTGAAATATATTTTTATATTAAAATATAGTTTTTAAATTGGACTATTTTCTTGAATATTTTCCTTTTATAAGCTTGAAACGTTGTAGCTGTTTTTTTTTTTTAATATTTATCAGAAATTTCAAACCAAATAGAAATCAATAAATTGTAGCTAAATATAGAACAGAGATTTTTCTAAATTCAACTAACATTTTAAAACTAAATATTATTGATTAAAAATCACTGCAAACTTATCTTACAATCATATCCCTAGCAATTACTTGCTTTATTGTTAATAAAATGACATTTTCTAAGTTATTTTTATACATTCTCAGAAGAAAAACACAACCTGATCAAATAATATTAGTAATTAAATACTACGCTGAATTTCCTAAGACGATGGATTCAATTACATAAAAAATTCGAAATTTCTTTGATTAATTTCAGAATAATTAAATCATGTTTTTTAGTTTTCATTTGAATTTAAGATCTTATTACAGGAAATGAGATAACAAAGAGTCAATGACCTTTAAAAATAATTATTTTTAATAAAAACTAGTAAAATAGTCATGAAATCATTTTATTTCTTAATATAAATTCAATAAATTTATATACAGATCAAATTTATAACGTAGACTACTGTAAATATATAATTAATTTAGAGATTAACGAATTTTAGAATAATTAAATTGAATTCTACTCAATAGTTTATGAATAATTAAATTTATAACATAATTTAAATTTTAATTGAATTGATGAAATTCAAATAAGAAAAACGAAACTTTTTAAATAAATTTTGAAACCTTAATTCAAGAATGATACATAAAATAATTGATTTGACTTTTATAACTTCCTCATAAATATTTATACAAACAATAAAAATTAATATGAAAATAAATACTATTTTTGCAATACTTTAAAATTGAAGTGCTGTACTAAGATAGATATATAAATACAGTCAATATATGAAGCTAGTACATTTTTCCAGTAACAAAATAATGTACTAGGTCCAAAAATTTTGTTAAATTAAATATATGAAATCATATTAATATTTATTTATTCATTTATATTGAAGTTACGTGAATGCTGAAAACTTGAAGTTCTATACCGACCTATAAATGTATTCTTAAAGCAAAAACATGTAATTTATAATATTTAAGTTATTTTTTAAGGATTTTTTTAAAATAAAATTATTCATTACAACAATATAATTAATAGAGAATAAGAAATCAAGTTTAATTCGCTCATTAAATAGCATAAAACAGTATAATAGTCATATGTAAAAATAATATAGTTTTACTACAGTTTAAGCAAATTTCTTAAAATAATTAAAAAGTATTTTTAGTAATAATTAAAGTGTGTAGCATAATACCAGGTTGATAAATTTGTCCAAGAAATAATTACCTGATTATTTGAACATAATTTATTTTATGTGAGTATAATATTAGTTAAACATCTTAACGCTAATAACACATTAAAATTAAATTTAGTAATTCTAAAGAGATGTAATTTTATAACAGAAGATGTAATTAGAATTTACGGAGATTTTATAGAATTTCATAAAATCAATTAAGTTATTATATAAGTCTATTGATTGACTTAAAATATAGATCTTGATATATCAACAAAAAGTTTATCTAAAAACCTCCTTATTTAAAATTTTTATAGTGAATCATAATATATTGTATATTATTTTATCATAAAAAATAAATAAATTAAATATTATAATAGAGAATGTTATATTATTATTGAATATTCATTACGGAAATATTATAATTATACTTTTTTAATAATTAAAAAAAATAAGGCTACAATAATGATTATAAGTATTAATTTTGTTTAGTTAATAAAGTTAATTTATTTATTATGACAGTTGCTAGTAAATAAATAAATTATTTTTTCAATTTTTATTTAAAATTATATATAATAGAAACGTTAATATTAATCATTGACTAATTTAACTACATCATTTATTTGATAGAAAGGTTTCTATGGTCTTAAAGAGTTCATAATTTAATTTAATTTTTATTGTTTACTTAACAGTTATATTTAAAAATATAATCAGTTTTGATATATGAATAATTTAAATGTTTTCGAATTTATTTCAAATTAAGTTTACAAAATATAAAATCTTAACATTAAATTTACTTTCGAGAAGTTATTAAAATTTACGCAGGTAAACACAGAACGAAATGCATTTCTTATAAATAATTCCTTTTGGTAAGTACTTCAGTTTCTATGCTGAGATATATTCGAATTCCATTCTGTAAACAAGTACGATATAATAAATCGCAATAAATTAATAAATATATTTATTTGAAATATACGAATAGAATATTGTGCATTTTTTTATTTCTATTTGAAGTTTAATAATATGTTATTTTCGAATCTGAAGAATCTTATCTTTTAGTATTATTTGTTCAAAAATAAAGTTATATATATATATATCATTTATAAATTTATAGTGGGCCATATAACCGGAAATATTATAATACTTTCAAGATCAAAGTATGAAAATAATTCTCTTCCTAGTACTAAATATAGTCGTTGAATTTTAATACAGTTGTACCTTTGTTCTCAAGCTAAATTTCGAAGATAAACAATTTATAATTTTTTATTTGTTAAAATAAGATAATAAGTATAATTACAATGTCATAGAATAATTCTATTAACATAGTTAAAAAAAAAATTATGTATTTGTTCTCTGATGCATTTCTGAAGAATAAAAGTCTTTTCCGGGTTGGGAAAGAGCGAGCGATACTTTGACAATCGTTTGCTTGCGTGCTACTCATGCAAATACGTTATGTGTTATGAAGAATAAAAGTATCGAAAATAAATGTTTATGTCAATTTTATGGTCTTTTCCAGAAACTGCTTACGTTATGAATGCGTTAACAACATTTAACAGTTGAATGCTTCTATACGAATTTGAAAAAAGAGCTGTAAAGTAGAAGTCAAAGTAGAAGTATTTTTTACTTTTTTTTTTTTATTAAATAGATGAATTGTATAACTTTCTTGTTGAAAGAAAAGCGGCTAACTAGTGTTATTTTTAACATTAGAAAAACATTTCAGTAACTATATATAGCTTTATAAATTGAATCTTTTAAAAATTCATTCAAATAAACTATTAATAGATCATTTGTTGAGTTGTAGAATGAATCTAGTTACTCGAAACACCATCATGTATATTATATATATATATATGTGTGTGTGTGTGTGTGTGTATAAATTGTAAAATAATGTGCTATTATTATTATCACTGAAATGGAATATAAATAGATGAAAAATTAAAAAAAAGAAAAGAAAAGAAGTGAACTGTATTGTAATCTATTGAATGACCCAAACATCTTATGCTTCACTTGCAGATTATTATAGTAGCAAAGTAGCATGTCCGTTAAAAATAGATAAGTTGCTATTATACGAATTTAAAATAATTAGGTGGAGTTTATATTAATTAAAAACCCATTTTCTTCTTTTTAAATTTTCCAGATAAGTAAATAGGTATTATTAATAATAACTTGGCTACTGTAATTTAAATCATGAATATTATTCGTTTTTAAGATTTTTACAGGCTTATTTTTAAATAAATAAAAAGTCTTGTTTTTATTTAATAATAAAATAATTTTAAAAAACCGAAGTAAAAATAAACGAAGATAAAATTACAGGTTAATCATAATTACTCTGCTTCTAATATATTCTGTAATTAAATACTATACAAAATGTTAACATTAAAAGACCAGTTATTCTCTCTCTCTCTCTTTTTTTTACTTTTTGATTATCATTATAATAAAACTAAACAAAATAAATTTTAGCAAGTTTATTATTACATAAAAATATGCTACACCTATTCATTTAACTTTAAAACAAAGTTTTAAATGTTAATTTTTATTTTAAAGATTATTATAAAGTATTCCTGTTTTTTTCCCCTTCTTTTCTTTAAAAGAAATTTTAAATAAGCTTAATATAAAAAGATATAATTATCAAACAACAAAAAAGAAAATAATATTTATTTTCCTTATTGATAAAAAATGAATTGCTGATAACTTCTTGAAATATTTTATCTGATAATATCGTCTTTCGTATTGAAATATTGTCATGCAACTCTTTGTCAAAGTAATATATTTCTTTTTGTAAATCTTTATCATATATAAATATGTAGAAATGCATATTGATTCGGAACACTTATTAGGCTTATCGTTACGTAATAGAAAGTTAATAAAATAACACAAAGGAAATTATTATATAACACTTTTATTTGAATAAACAACAAAAAAATGCTTTAAGTATTTTTAATAATAACTTGACAGAACGAGGTGATAACATTAAATTTTTTTTAATCAATAATACTTCCTTATCAAGGCCGTACACACCATTGGGTTTAACTCCCTCCATTTGGAAAGAATTAAAAAAAATTAAATTAAAAAAGTAATATGTATTAGGTAACCGTTCATTCCTTCCTTAGTCTACTCTACTGTGTTACATTACATACTAATATTGTAAAAATTAACTAGGGACACCACGCGACTTTGCCTTATCGTGATAGAATTGAGTCGGAGAGTTACGTTTTCGTATTAATAATTAAAAACTTTTTAATTAGTATTAGTACATATAAATTATCTTTTACTTTTTCCTCCTAAATTTCGTTAGGCATGGACATTGCCACTTTGACCTCACTGTATCTCAAAACGTTATGGACTCCCATTTTTTAAATTACATTTTTGAATTCTTCATTGGAATTGATGGAAAATGGCAAAGTTTAATCAAAATCGATCGATTAAATTTTGAAAACGAACACAATTCTGTAAGCCACATAGACGAGACTTCGCTAACGCCTCAATAAACTACGTTATGAACAAATAATTTTTTTTTTAAACCTTACCCAAAAATTTCGCGCTTGTGTCTGTTTTTTTTTTATCACAATATTTATAAATATACATATATTTGTAATTGTAACTCGTAAAGATTTAACCATATTACTGTATGAACGTAAAATAAATAAATCTTTATTATGGCCCTACTTTTAAATATAAATTACATCAATTAAATTATCTGTAAAATNGTTTCAATGAATGTTATTATTGCGTGTTGACCTTGATTCTGTATGCAGCTGCAGAAATATACATAGAAGTAAGTCTAACGCCTACTTTTGGGCTTACATAAATGTTCACTTTATTTTATTGATTAAATATTTGTTATTTGCATGAAATCTGAAACCTAAAGAAAAGTGTGCCCAGTTTTCTTTTTGATATACAATAATATCATAAGTATGTCACAGTCCTAATATTAAAAATATATTGCTATAGTTTAGTTGCTATGTATTTAGGATGTTTGACAAGTTTTTTTGTGAAATTTTCTATATTTTTCTTATGTTTTAACTTTTTTTATATAAACTGGTTTTAAGTTATCAAGTTTTTTTAAATCTCAATAAATATTTCATTAATGTTTCTTCATTAAAATCGAACGTATTAAATTTAGAATTTAGTAGATCAGATTTTTATGGTATAAAACAATTCTTCAACGCTGTTTTGCTTTAAAGAATTTTATAAAGAAAATATATATTTACAGAACGTAATCATTCTCATCATCACATCAAATTAACACTCCAATTCGGAGACATCAGGACTTGAATGTTTAGATGAATGTTATCGGCCTTCATAATATTTATGTGAAATCCTATATTCTATTCCATTAAACTATAAATCAACACCCACTTTAAGTAAATAAATTACATTTTTTTTTTTACTTAAAAAAATATATTTTTTGAATTTCTTTGATATAGGAAAATAATGTTTAAATGAAGCGAGATATGAGCTCAATGCATTCCAATGTTGTCTATATTTAAATAGGCTATTTAAAAAAAACTGAAAAACTGCTGTATACGAGTAAAATGTTTTCAAGAACTTTCTAATTTAATAATTATTAAAACGACATTAAACCGGTTATTTTACTGGCTGATTAAACTGTAGAATAAAAACATGTTTGACATCTTATAAATATTTATTTTTGTAATATAAATACGCATTACTTCTAGATGTAGCTTCGGAATAATTATATTAAATTATTTTTAAATAATTAACGTATCACGATACCTATTCAAGTTTATCTTAACATCCTGATTTAAGATAAATGAGTTGACTGTGCATTGTTTCATTTCGAGGTTAACGTCAAGGAATACAGGCCTAGATTTAGAGTCAATGAATTGAAAACTCATTTTATGATAAATTCATATTTTATAAGGTTTTTTTTAAATATATTATTTTATTTGATAGAATTGAAATCAAGTTTTAAAATTTTAATTACTATGAATCAATGCTAAGGAATATAATCATCCAGGAAACATTAACTTTAATTAAATTTACACAGTACAGAATTACATATTACATAAGCTATATAATGTTATATAATTACAGTAATTAAAAATTTAATTAAAATAATTTATTAATTTTTAAATTTTATTTGTCTTAAACAGAAAGAAAAAAAATTGAATTACTGTTATTTAATATGAATTTCTATCTCACTGAAGTATTGCAATAATAAATTGAGTGATAAGAACAAATTTAATCTTCCTTAATTAAATGTGATATGTGTATAAACTGTTACTGGTGAAATAAATAAAATTTATTTTTAAATATAACTTTTTTAATTATATAAATACATGATTATTGAATAATTTTATCGTGTTTTAATATTGTAATTTCAAGAGCAACATTTAGATTACAGAATTGTATTCATCATAATTAATAATATATTTCATAAACGTCCTCCCAATGCCATTGTACTACACCTGACACTTTAAACTTAACCGCTTTAAATGGGAACTTCCACAATTTATAATAATTATATGGAAGTTATGAACTCATAAATAATGTAACCTAAAAAATAATCCTTCCTGAAGTATTATATAATTACGAATTTAATTTTGGATAATCTACTTTGTTTATTTTTTTATATTTTACGAAATGAAACAAGACTAGTTTCCTTCTGTTCGTCGTTGAAAGAAAATTTATATTAAATAATCTATTATTTGTATACAACCGAGTGCAATTATTGTAATAAATTATACTCGTACATTAAAAGACATTTCCTATTAATAACAATAACCACTTGTTTATCGTTATATAACTAACGATTTCAAATATTTTATAATTTTACAAGAATTTTTGGTTTCTGAACTACTTGTATTGCTTCAAATCTCGATTTTTTAGAGGTTGAATGACGACGATAAAAGGCGGACACGCGATATAAAATTCCCATCATAATCCTACTTATATATTAGTGATATGATTTATAATTATCCTTTTATTACATAATTTTTCTTTCTGTGGTGAATAAATTGATTTGTGTCTATGTAATTTTACTAGTATTTAGTAAATTCAACAAAGGAAGAGGAAGTAGATTTATAGTAACGAGTAACTTGTACATCGCATCCTTTTCCTCTGACGATGTAACTTACTGGAAATTTTTCCGCAATAAAACGAATAATAAATTTCTAAGAAAATATAAGCATTTTATCATCGAAGACCATAAACATAAACTAGAGAATTTAAAAGCGATATTTTTATATAATAAATATAGATTAAATTTCAATTATTCTCATCGGCAGAAACTACAGATCACTTTTAATAATAATAATAATAATAATAATATGAACGTTTTATTATAAAAATAATTTAAAATATTGTCAACACAGTTTTGAGGTTTGTCGTGTTTTATTCGAATTTTAAATAGTTTTTTAAGAATAAAAAACAAAATTACTTGTTCGTTGTTCCTTGCCTTACATAGAGATAGCTGTCATGCCCTAATTCTTAATGTTTATTTGGTATTAATGCCATAGTAACGTAATGCCTTTACTTGATATTATATAACATTAAGGAAATTAAATTCATTTAACAATTTTAAATTTCTGCAATCACAAATTTCAAACGAATTCAACCTTGACTTCATTACGCTAAAACGAAACTTATCATTCATAATTTGTTAAAATCTGTTTTAAAAAATTAAACGATAATTATTATTATTTTTACCTTAATGAAACGGTATAATATACAGTACACAACATAAGCGAATTAAAAATTTTTGTTTAAATTCATTAAAATAGTAAATGCAAAAGGATTAAAATGGACACAGTTTTGAAACAAAAAGACAAGGAAATAGTATGCCGAGCAATGCTTATCTTTTAAAATATAAAATAACCTGAATACTTGATGCTCCTGACCTCAATATATAGAATGTACTGTACACATATATTTATTTAATAAATAAGTAACTCTGCTAACTAATGAAAATTATCAAAAGTTTAACCAGCTTTTCGTTTATTTTCTATTATTAAAAACTATCGCAATTTAAATAAGGAAAAAAAACGTACATTTAAAACTACAGAAAATATTTTGTTTTTTTTTATTCTACTTTCTACTCTACTAATTGCATATTTAATTATTATTTTTTCCCATGATAAAGCATTAAGTAGGTCCGTATTACAGTATATGTACTAAATTACATTTATTAAATAATCGAGCTTATTAGGATTATTTGCAGAGATATGTTTATGTTGATACAAATGGGTTATTAATACATCTGTAATCTGATCTAGATTAAAAATGAAACACATCAAATATTTAACGAGTGCTATGAGACTTCTCTATTATGTGGCTCTAATTGAGTTAAATTGTCGCATCGATTGATAATATAAAGAGATCTCTGTTATCGTACATTAATGCAAATGGCTTCTTTGCACTGATATAAAAGTGTTGTATTTTGTCTAAATTAATTCTAATAAAATTAGTTTTTAAGATTATTGTTGAAAATATTCACATTTTATAAGTAAAAGTACCAACTTTTCCAGTGAAAATTATTACAGCGCGTGAAAAAATATCTTATCCTAGTTTCTAAACATTGACATAATTTCATGTTTCATTTTTATATTAATATAGATAATCTGTGAGTTTATATTACAGTTTATGAACGTTCTTACTGTATTGGTGAGGGGTATCGTCTTGTACACCTCGACCTAAAATGTACACTGTACACCATTGAAAGTTCTTAATGAGATAGTATGTAATTTACAGTGTTAAATAATTATAATCAAAATGTATAGACGAATGTTATTTTCATCTTACAAAAATCAATATTTGCAGTTGCTATGATAAAAATGTCAATAATTTAAATTAATTTTATATATCTTATTTTAACGTACGAAAAATAAATTATTATTGAAATTGTTTCTATATAATACTCATTTAAAACAGTGTCTTATTTTTAAATATAAAATTAAGGTTACCTAACTTCTATGCAAAAAAAAAAGGTCGGAAGGATCAAAGAACAAGGATCTCGGGTCAGGTTTTCCAGTACAAATGAATATATTCCATTTTATAAAAAGACACAAATTAAAATAAAAATAATAATTATTTATATTTTAAAAAAGTTTAATAATATCTTTACTTAAAGGATAAACAGTAGCAGCGACTCAAAAATCTATTTCCTTTAGACTGTTAGACTTGTCTAATGTTTGTTGCTTCGAATTACTTAAACTTCTTAATTATAAAAAAAAAATATAAGGAGAAAAAAAGTCAATTGTATCAAATTTGAACAGATTCATTTACTCCCTTCGTTTACTTACAAGTTCTTTTTCATAATGGATGAAGAGAAATTAATTAAATTGTTGACAATGTTAATCGCAACATAATCCCCTTTCTCATTAAGATTTCATTTTTATATGTTACAAATCTGTCGTTAATAATCATATTATACTTTTAAAATTTATTAACAATAATTATTATTATTTATATTTAATGTTTTGTTAGAAATTTATTACCGATAATTTTTTAATTTACATTTTTATTGTCTATTAAATTTTTAAAAAAATATTATTCTTTTAACAATAAGTATAAAACTTATTAATTTAAGTAGACATTATTAAATTTAAAAATTATATTTTGTAACATATAAAGAGTTTACAGTAGTAATTTTATGCACATAAGCAGAACGAAAGTAATTCATATCCTTTTTTTTATTTTATTTATTTATATATTTTTAGGTAACTGGATTCGTTTCTTTAATAGGAATAATGTTTAATAAATTCTTTTAAACACGATCTAAACAAGTTTATAACTTATAAAATTTATTTATTTAGGTCTACGTTTATATACAGTAGCTGTTTATAGTACACTTATTTCGATTAGCTCTTTATAGAACAAGAGAATTAAAAAAGTGTATTTTTTTTAATCTAAAAATTCAGCGGAAATTGTGTCGTTATATCTCGAAATAATTGACAAAAATTATCAAATACATTTGCATAATTCAATACATTTAACGTATAGGACTAAATATAAGTTTTGAATTAAAGTCGATTTTGTGCTACATAATGGACGACAGCGTGAGAAATTAAAATTCGACTCTCGAATATTTATAAATCAACACGAATAGCTGTAGGACTAATAGTGTTTACGAGAACAAACCATCCAAAAGGTAAAAGGTCGAATCTTACAAAGGAAAAACAAGGAGGAAATTTTCAAGGAAATTGACGTCATTACTTTGTGCTGACCAATTTATTATTGTTTTTTTAAAACATGTATGTGTTTAAATTATATTCGTTATAGCTAAAAGTATTCATTAGAACACGTGATAATAAGTTACGTGATTAATCTGAGGCTAGAGGCAGGAAAATTTTTTTTTTTTTTTAATTTANACCTGACACTTTAAACTTAACCGCTTTAAATGGGAACTTCCACAATTTATAATAATTATATGGAAGTTATGAACTCATAAATAATGTAACCTAAAAATTTTATCGTGTTTTAATATTGTAATTTCAAGAGCAACATTTAGATTACAGAATTGTATTCATCATAATTAATAATATATTTCATAAACGTCCTCCCAATGCCATTGTACTACACCTGACACTTTAAACTTAACCGCTTTAAATGGGAACTTCCACAATTTATAATAATTATATGGAAGTTATGAACTCATAAATAATGTAACCTAAAAAATAATCCTTCCTGAAGTATTATATAATTACGAATTTAATTTTGGATAATCTACTTTGTTTATTTTTTTATATTTTACGAAATGAAACAAGACTAGTTTCCTTCTGTTCGTCGTTGAAAGAAAATTTATATTAAATAATCTATTATTTGTATACAACCGAGTGCAATTATTGTAATAAATTATACTCGTA